CATCCTAACCCTGTACCCTTCCTACAACCAAACAAAGTTGTTTTGCAACAATAGGAGACAAAACCACCTAATTTTGTGCAATTTTTAATTTCAATGTTAAAATTTCTTCAGCTGTTACACTTACACACACACACACACACACACACACACACACACACACCCTTTAAGCATAAGGGACACTCATACAGTTCCATTCTGACACTATGAAATGCCTTCCCTGATCCCTGTTATATATGGGGGATGAGGGAGGCCCAGTATATGTGACCAGCTAACAGGTCTTGTGTTTAAGTAGACTTGATCTCTACGTGGTCCCTGCCCTGGTAGCGACACTCATCCTCTGAGAGGAGTCTTCCTTTTGTGAGTGGGGGCAACACAAAGGGCCTCCAAGAGGTAGGCCTGGGTCAGAGAGAGGCTCAGGAGCATCAGGGGACCCTGCATCTAGAAGCTGGGAATGATAGCCCTTGCCTTGTCTAGCCTGTGTTTCTCTCTGCTACACTGGTGTTTTTTTCTCCCCAGCTGAAGACTTGAATAAATAATTTGATTTTCTGTTATTGCCGGCGATTACCGCATCTTCTTATTTAACTTATGTCTTCTTTCCAAGCGAGAGTATCCAGGTTTCGGTTGGATCTATTTTAAGGTGAATTAATTAACCAGCATAATAATACATTCATGTTTCTTTTTTCATTATAATTTTTACTCTAAAATAGTTACAGAACACTTGCCAATGAACCCCTAGTAAACCACGCCGTCTTTTTGGGTCTGTCTGTCGTTCCCTTCGTCTCTAACAGGGAAACCTGCCTCCGGACTACAGAATCAGCCTCATAGATATTGGCCTAGTGATTGAGTACCTGATGGGCGGGGCTTACCGCTGCAACTACACCCGCAAGCGCTTCCGGACCCTCTACCACAATCTGTTTGGCCCCAAAAGGGTGAGTTTCTAGCATGTTCTGAGGTTCTTTTGGGGAAGACTAGGGAGGAGAGATTTCGGGTATGGCTTCTTGTCTCCAAGGGAAAACGAATTGAAAGGGCAGAAAGTGCACCCCCCCCTTTTTCCATCCAAATTGTTGAAAATTATGATTAAATATAAAATACTGGGCAAACAAATCCTATCTGCTGCTTTCCTTGCGGTGACGGACCCACTTTGGTCATTCTAAAAATATTTCTCTAGAGCTACAGTCTAAATAACTGCAGTCTCTCTGCTAGTCTTTCCTTCAACAAAAATGATCTTCGATTGGAGGAGGGCCTTCGTTTTTTGGTTTTCTATTTTGCATTTTCATGTCTGCAGTTCAATTCCAGCGAAAACCTGCACTTTCCTCGGGAGTCACTGGTCAGTACTACTACGGCAGAAGAAGTCTGGGCAGGGACAGCTTCCACCTGTGTCCCACAGGAAGGCAATAGGGCATTTCCAGAACATGTCCTCATGGCTCGATTTAGCCAATGATTAGTGTTCACGTCTTGAGGACGTTCTTAAATTTTGCGTTTGTGTTCGTTGGTTGTTTGGTTTGTTGTTGTTTGATTGGTTCATTTTGTACCTAGCACTGGGATCTAGAAACAGTTCCCAAGTTGCTCCATCGCCTTTCCTCCTGTCAAGCTAAAGCCCCCACAGCCTTGGGCCGCTAGCGCTTTCATAAGCCAGGACCCTCAAAGGTGTGTATTGCTATAAACACAGCTTGGACTTCACTCCCTGAAAGGGGCTGGGGCACCCTTAGGACCCCAAAATGACACCTGGAGAGCAATTGACTCTGCTCGTAGAGGGCATGAGATTTCTTCCTTTTTTATTCTCTCTCTTTTAAAAAATATTTATGATTTTCTTAATGTTTGGGTTTTATGATTTCTCCCTTTATGTAATTTTTTTGTTTTTGTTTTTCTGAGTTTTTGTTTGTTTGTTTGTTTGTTTGTTTTATTTTTTGAACAAGGTTTTCCACTGAGGAAGCTATTTTGTGGGTCTTTTAGAAAATAGGAGAGGAGGAACAAAATCTTTGAATAAAGACAAAAAAATGTAGATTTGTGGTAATTTTAGAAGCCAAAAGAGAAAAGAAGGGAGACAATGTCAAGCTAGTCTAACTTCTATAATCACATCAAATTACAGGAACTATCAGCTCCTGATTCTTATGTCCTCGGTAGCTTCCAAAATGACACCCACTGCCCTGATGCACTTAGAAGACAGAATTGGTACTCCTGGCCCATGGGTGTTAATTTGTTCTCCCACTCTTAAATACAAACTCCCGAGTGGCCTTCTCTGTGCCCTCAGTTGTGCCCACTTTACAAATACCCAGCAAGGCCAAGGAAGCCACTCCCTGTGTGGGGATGCCCTCCGTGCCACTGAGCAACTCCTGCCACCAACAGCCCCCGCACACCCTTTCTCTGCTGTGCAACACTGGAAGACAACAAAAGGAACATCTAAACAAACATTTTGAATTATTCCCCAACTCTCTGCATAATAGAAATTTTCCAGAGGTTTGAGAAATATCTGGTTTGATCTGTTGATTGTTTCATTTTTCATCTGTCTTCTCTGCTCAGACTACTGTAACAAAACACCAGAGGCTAAGGGGCTTATAAACAGCATCAACGTACCTCTCACAGCTCCAAGGTCAAGAACAGGGTACCAACAGGCTGACCATATGCAAAGGGCCTGTTTTCTGCTTCATAGGTGGCACCTTCTATCTGTGTCTTCACACGGGAAAAGCCAACCAACTCCCATCTGCCTTTCTGATAACGATATAACTTTCTTTCAGAAGGCGTCTTCCATCATGATCTAACACTCTCCCCCAAATACCCACCTTGTCAGTTAGAATTTCATCATCTGATGCAGATGGGTGGGGAGGAAAACACTCAGACTATAACATTTACTCAAGTGCTGTACATCCTAGAGGAGCTGGTGAAGTAGAATGGTCATAGGAAAGGGAAAGAAACTTTGACCCACAAAAAGTCATTCTAAACCTTCAATTTTATCTCTTCAGTTTTCTAATTTGCTGTGGTTCACCAAAATCACAACATCCCTAACTCGCCTCCATTTTTTCAAAAACATGTTCCTTTTATTGTGTTCACTCAGTGACATAGAATTAATGCTATACGGTACCGTAGAGTTCTTATATTACTTATTTGCAATATAGTAGAATTCGTTTCTTACCTCAATGAAAAAAGATCTAACTTGTTCACAACATTTTTTTAAACAGCCCAAAGCCTTGAAACTGCTGGGAATGGAGGTTAGTGTTTGCTCAAATTATTAGTGTCGATTATTCTCTTTCTCACATATTTAAAAGATATATGAGTTCATTTTAATAGTAAGGCTTAGTGCATGATTCTAAAATACAATTTTCCAAGTGCCATGATGGCAGTTCACAGTAGCTGTTAAAATTCCACAATGAATTTATGTTAGCAGTGGGGGCAAAACAAAAATGAATAAATCCAATTGTAAATACTAACTTGAAAACCAAGTGCATAAACTCCACAGGCAAAATCAATTAGAAATATTTACCAATGCCAACAGATCCAAAGAATTTCACAGATGCATCTAATAGGGGTGCAGAAACTTGAGCGGTTTTGTTCCCATCTTTGGTTCATTGTTTATTGTTGTTGTGTGAAAACACAGGTATAGAATATCCTTGCTTTTTCAGAAAAAAAATAAGGACGAAAAGAAACATGGTAATGCTGCCCATCATGAGGTATAGACAGCCACACCTATGGAAGAAGAAGCGGACAATAGTAAACAAGCAAAAGAAAGGAAGGAAGAAGGAAAATTACCTATGAAAACATGTTTGGAATTTTTAAGACAGACTCTAATTATGTAGCCCAGCCTGACCTCGAACTTGCCATCCTCCTGTTTCTGACTCCAAGGTGTTGCTGGGATTTTAGGGATTCACCACCATCCCCAGCTTAGAAAATGCTTTGTTTAAAGTAAAGCGAGTATGCATTTATTAAGTCTTATTTTTAAATCAGCCCGAAGGAGCTTGCAAGTCTCTTTAGGATAAGAATTGGTCTGGTTCATTTCAGTATGATTCTAGAGCTGAGCCAGTGGAAGCTATACATAAAGTATGTAGTGAATTAATCTGATTCCTTTTCAACTCAGCTTGTCTGTTTCTCTAAACTTGCAGGATGACATTCCCTTGAGGAGAGGAAGGAAGACAACTAAGAAGCGTGAAGAAGAAGTGGACATTGACTTGGATGACCCCGAGATCAACCACTTCCCCTTCCCCTTCCATGAGCTGATGGTGTGGGCTGTCCTCATGAAGAGGCAGAAGATGGCCCTGTTCTTCTGGCAGCATGGAGAGGAGGCCATGGCCAAAGCCCTGGTGGCCTGCAAGCTCTGCAAAGCCATGGCTCATGAGGCCTCTGAGAATGACATGGTTGATGACATTTCCCAGGAGCTGAACCACAACTCCAGGTTGGCCAGTCACTCGTGAGGAGGGTGGGGAGAGAAGGAAAGGTAGACCCCAAATGCCAGAAGTTCTGGGCTCGACAAAACTTATGGGGTAACAGAGTCCCTGCACTAGAGCACATAGAGAGTGGGCATGAGTCATTTGCCTTTATTGTGCGCAATGCTGCATAGAGGTACAGAGAGATTATCATTCATCCTCTCAACTGCCCCCAAGCAACAGGTCATAGCATCATGCATTTCATCCAATTCAGGATAAGATCTCAGAGAATCTAAGTAACTTGGCTGAGATCATATATAGTTGGCAAGAACAGGTCTGTCATGTTTAAGAAGACACACCACACTCTAATGACTGACTGCTTATTCTGCCTCTACCTTCACATGCCCTGAATTGGGGGTCTTGAGTGCAGGAATCAAGCTTTTCCCTAACATCTTCAGTTCTAGACATGGTATCTAGCGAGCACTTAAAGAATGCTGCCTGGGTGGTTTCATGAGCCACCAGACTTGACAGGAAACCGCTACTCCTCACAGCAAGCTACCTGTTATGATTGAACAGTGGGCTCATCTTTGTTCGTGGAAGTCTCCAAGTTGGCCTGAAAGACCCACCTAGGCCTTGTCTTCCAGGGACTTTGGCCAGCTGGCTGTGGAACTCTTGGACCAGTCCTACAAGCAGGATGAGCAGCTGGCCATGAAACTGCTGACGTATGAGTTGAAGAACTGGAGCAATGCCACATGCCTGCAGCTGGCTGTGGCTGCCAAGCACCGTGACTTCATTGCACACACGTGCAGCCAGATGCTGCTTACTGACATGTGGATGGGCCGGCTCCGCATGCGCAAGAACTCGGGCCTCAAGGTCAGCATCCCCAAAAGAGATCTGTTGCCAGAGTGTTCAAGGGTTGGTTGGAGTTTTCTAAGCCAGATCTCTGGTGGGTCTAAGGGTTATCTTGTGTTGGGAGGTGGTGCTGACCCATCACTAGGCATTATAATCTCCTTAGAGATATGGTTTTCATTTAGAGTCGGGGTTTGAACTTGGGGTCTGTCACATTTAAGAAGGCAAGCTACATATGCTATAGTCATTGATTGCTTATAGTCATTGATTGCCTCTACCCTCAAAGGTCTTGGATTGGGGGTCTTGAGGCCAGATCTTAAGGCCTATGAAAACAGAATCTTGTCTCAAATCCAAAGATGCAGAGTACACACAGGTCCCGTGGGGACACTGTACACTCTTACACAATTATGCTACCACAAGGGTCTCACCTAAGTCACCCTTCAGTGCCCTGTGAGACTGAATACCCTTCTGGTCCCACCCAGGCTATCTTGTATTATGTCATATCATAGAGACATGGCCTCTGATAGAATGGGCTTGAGACATTTTAACTGAACTAAAGTTGAGATAGGTTTGTACATCAAGACATTACTCACTTTTAAAAAAGGACAGGTGGGTTCAAAATCACACCTAGAACCTCATGCATGGCAGTGAGCTACATCCCTAGTCCCTGATCTGTTCTCAAGTGAGGAAAAGCAAGTGACAGGCCAGTCAACACAACCTAAGCCCATTTGCAAAAGGTGTATAGTGATAGCTATATAAATGAACTAAGGATAACCAAGAGGCACACACAGGGTTAAGTGCAGTAGTTCTCTCTGGTACTGAACAGACTGAGCACGTGACTTGTTCTTGAGAAGACAAAGTTGGGTTGAAGCTTTTGCCTTATTTGTTGGCAGTTTTAGAGATTGCAGGGCCCCACACATGCCAGGAGAGCTCTCTATCTTTGAGTGACACCTCAACCCAATTTTTGCTTCTTCTAATCCTGTTAGGGATTTTCAGGGAAAATTTTAAAATGAAAGAATTTTTTAAAAGAAGGAGAGAGAGAGAAATGAATGAGAGAAAAAGGGGAGGATGTTTGGTTTAATTTTTATGATGGCAGTTTTTAATTATATGTATTTAAGATGCCAATACAATGTTTGAACATACACCAGAGTCAAGCAAATTGGCACATTCATCATCTTGCAATTACCCTTTTTTGCATGTGGTAGGATTGTCTAGCATCTACTCTCTTAAAAATTTTGCTAGTATGTAGTGTGACATCATGACCATGTCGCTCATGATATACCTAATCCCTTTGGACCCTCTTACACCACAATTTTGCATCCTGCCCTTCTTGACTGTTGTTCTCCTGGACCAGGACTGGTCGTCTCACTCCGCCTTTCTTAGGGGCTCTTGACCCGAAGTTACAAAAATGGTTCTATGAAGAACCTGCTGCTAGTAACTGCCAAGTCAGGTGAGGAGTCAAGCTAGTTCTCAGCTCCGAGGACAGGGCGTTGTACCCTACAAAGATTGTCAGCGTGTCGTTTGAGCCTCCTAAAACACCTATAATTTAGAGTCAGTTCTGATCCTTTTCTGCTGACTGGTCTTAAGTCCCCATGGCTATTAGGACCACAAGACTGTGAAGACATCATACCCACTGTTCCTTCAGGATCTGTCTGAGTACCTACCCTCTGTGCGGTATCTTTGGGAGCCTTATACACTGGAACTGTTTTAGAATTGAAAGAAGCTGGAGAAGACACTGTTCTCTGACAGTGGAGGAGATCACGCTGCCTTGAGATAGGCCTATGTCATGAGCATCTTGACACTGAGATTCACACACAGTGTTTACACATGAGAGTCATGCAATGTTGGCCTTTCTGGGGCTTTTGTGCAAGGAGACTCACTATTCTCCACAAATACCGAGGTCTCTGTGGGAAGAGGTGGTTCTGTTTGGACATTAGCTATTGCCAGTAGAATGTTCTACAGCAGATAAAATCATTGTCTACATGTGCCTTCAAGGTCAATCCAGAAAGCTTTACTTGACAGAGGTCATCAGCTAGCACATCAACTCTACTTCACAGATAAATGCCAGTATGTGTATGAATTGATTTTAAAAGGCCAAGTTCTGTCTAATGACCAAAATTTCCATTTTTTCACCTTTGCTTTGAATAGGATCTTTCTCCTCATTTCCCCCATAAAGTGAGAATTAATAGGATACGATATACTTTAGTAAAGTAAGTGTTTCCTAGATGGGCCAAAAAGTTACCTTCTTGTATATTTAGATCTCCAGATTTCCACATCCCTATTCAGCCAGTCCAGCACCTGTGTATGAGCATGATGTACACACACACACACACACACACACACGCACACACACACTCATATACCACACCCCAGGTTCTCTGATTCTAAGCAACCACCCTAATCTTAATCCTTTAAATGTGATTATTATTATTATCATTATTATTACTTTAGGTAATTCTGGGAATTCTACTTCCTCCTTCAATTCTCAGCTTGGAGTTCAAGAACAAAGATGACATGCCCTATATGACTCAGGCCCAAGAAATTCACCTCCAAGAGAAGGAGCCAGAAGAGCCAGAGAAGACCACAAAGGAGAAAGATGAAGAGGACATGGAGCTAACAGTAAGAAAACACTATGCCGTTTTTCTCCAAAGCCACTCATGCATTGATATTACTGAGGCTCAATAATGCTTGAGATAAGGGTTCCCCAGCTTCCTGCCAGGTATAATCATGTAAGTGTTGAGATTACAGTATCATAAAAGTTTCCTCTTTGTGCACAAACAGCAGGGCTATAAGATCCAACTGTACGGGAAGTCCTTCTGCCAATGGTACTACAGAACAAATCAGTGAAATTCAAAGCCAGGCGACCTCAATTTTCCAGGCAAGCGTCCGTTGATAAACATGACAGTGTGACTGGCAAGAGAGAGAGGGAAGCCGTGAGCTGTGAGCAGCCAGCTTTGCTGAGCTGGGGCCATTCTGCTGGTCAGAAGCTAAGACTGTATCTGTCTTCAGGGTCAAAGTCACAAACCCATCACTAATTGAGTTTTGAGGTTTGTGGAAAGCTTTTATTAGCGCTTCCTGGTACAATTATAGAGCATGGATGCTTTGTTCTGCAGAGAGAACAAGACAGCTGTGCACGGAAGCACTCCCCGCAGCCCCCACCCAAGTGACATGACTGCCACTGGCTTGTGTCCAGAGGCTAAAAATAGCCTGTGCCTGTGCCATTAAAGGGACAAATAGGGTTTCATAGCTTGGGAGAGCTGCATCAAACAGCAACTCCACAGGGACAGGTCTGAAGCACCTCAGTCTCTCTCAACACCCTAGCCACTAGATCTGGGAGTAATGACCCAGAAGGAGCTGTAAGAGGGGAAGATGAAAATTGGGTTGATTCAGGTAACAGAAAGACTTTGCATGAGTCTCATCATTGGGACCACCATGGGACAATCTCCCTCCACAGACAGTCCTTCTTTCTAGAAACCCCTTCCTGGGGATCTGTTGATAGATATGAGCCCTCACTCACTGGATGAAAAGCCAATTTTTGTCTCAGTTCCAAGATCTTTGTAAAAAACCTAGGTAGGCACCTGCCCTGCCTGCAATAGCAGCACACTGCCTTCCCTGCCGATCATATCATAATTTTGGTCTCTGAATGCCTCAATAAAATGTTTTTTTAATCATGGTTAGTGTTGATTCTGAATTCTTCCTGACTGTCTCAACAGAGAGGTAAAGAGTATGTGCTTTAGAGTCAGAATCCTGTGTAGTGTGATGTTTTATTCTTTTGGTTTTTTTGGAGGGCCAGCTCCCAAATAAATCATACATGGAGGCTTATTCTTAGTTATGAATGCCCGGCCTTACCTTGGCTTGTTTCTTGACAGCTTTTCTTAAATTACCCCAACTACCTTTTGCCTCTGGGCTTTTATTTTTCTCGATTTCTGTATATCTTTCTTTACTTCTTTCTCTGAGGCTTGCTGTGTAGCTGGGTGGCTGGCCCCTGATGTCCTCCTCTCCTTGTTCTCTTTCTCCTCTTTCTTTCTTGGTTCTCCTTCCGTTTATTCTCTGCCTGCCATCCCCGCCTATCCTTGCTCCTGCCTTGCTATTGGCCATTCAGCTCTTTATTAGACCAATCAGGTGTTTTAGACAGGCAAAGAACCACAGCTTCACAGAGTTAAACAAATGTAGCACAAACAACAGTAACATGCCTTCAAATAACATTCTCCAAAAATCATGCCCCTTCACCTACCTGCTCTGTGACCTTAAACACAATTTCATCCCATCTTTAGTGGGAGTAGAGTTTTGTCTGCCTTGCAGGTGGTTTTGTGGTTTAAGAATAAATTGCTTAGATATAAATGTCTAAGCTACTTAGAGTAACAACTAGACATTAACAAATGTTTGCTTATGTTGTTGAAATGGCGCTGGATACTCTATCTGCCCTCGCTCATGGGACCACATCATGCCCATCAGGTACACATTGTTCTTCTTCCCAGATTAGAAAGCAAGGACTCAGAGATTAAATTGCCCACATTTAGCCAGCCGGTTGGTTGCAAAGGTGAGATTAGAATCCAAGCATACATACTCCATTGGCTGTTGTTATACATTTAACAACCTCAGCCAGTTGTCAAGGGCAAGAGAGAATTATTTTCTGTTCTCCAATGGTCCTGCTTAGTGGATTTAGTTCACCAGAGTAGAGAGCCTCCAAGGGATTCCAAGTGTCCCAAATCAAGTATGGTATGACTCCCTCACAGGCAGCCTCCTGGGAGGACAGTCAGTAGCTGCATGATGCTCACTATGTCTGGGTATAGAGGAAAAAGAGCCACTTGTCTACTAAGAGCTTTGGGGACTTTGATCCTTCAGAAAGTCACTATAAAAGTTGTCTCTCTAGTCCCAGAGCATAACGGGCTTGCCAGAGAATAGATCCTAACACTGTTCACTGTGAACCCGAGTAGGACATATGCTGATGAGCAGAAACCTCACAGAGAAGAATAAGGCGGAGACGCATGGGTTGCGAGCTTTGAGTGGGACAGCATTGACCTTCAAGGGAGCCTGTTTTCACCCTGATGGCAAATTCTGTTCCCTGCTGCCCCTCCAATGAGCAGCTCACCCCAGACAGGATTGGAGAAAGGAGCTTGTTGACAAGCCCATTCCCTTCACAGGGATGATATTTGAGCTTCTAACAAAAATGAATGCATCCTTCCTGGGAATAGGGTTGCTTCCAAAATGACACCAAAGAATGTGGGTCTCCACTTGCACTGTGTTTGTAGCCTTTAGCAGCTTAACTTCTCCCAAAGGATCTTTCCCCGCTTTGACACCTGTGGCCAGCTAGCAGGGTCTTGAATCTGCACTGAACAAGATATATTCGACCTTGTTCAAGCCTCTTTTTCTACTAGAAAAAAATATTTTTTGTTTTTTATTTTGTTTCTTTTTAGATATGTTTATGTATGTATGTATGTATGTATGTATGTATGTATGTAGGCCAGAAGAGGACATCAGATCTCATTAAGAATGGTTGTGAGCTGGTTGTGAGTGGTTGCTGGGAATTGAACTCAGGATCTCTGGGGAAGCGGCCAGTGCTCTTAACCACTGGGCCCTCTCTCCAGCCCTTTCACTGTTTCTTTTATACATAAGTGACTCTGTTAAATTCTGCTTTAAGCAGTGTCAAAGAAGATGTTTGGCTACAGGGATGAGAAATCAACAAAATCAGAGTTGAGCTTCTAAGACTGAAACTGATGAAACGGCAACCTGTGAGAGACCAAACTTTGCAAATGGACCCTGCCCCTCAGAACCTCTGTGAGCAGCAAAGGAAAGGCAGGGCTGCAATGCTTTTGTTTCACCTTCATGGCCTTGGAAATGTGCCATCCTGCACTGAAGCCTAAAAAAAGTCCCAGCATGTGCAGAGCTTCAGGGTTGTGCAAGCTTTGCTAGAAAAGCCATTGTCCCTAGACATCACCCCAAGATATTACTCCCTAAGACAACCAAAAACCTTCAACGGATATTTACTTTCGTTCCACCATATTCTCAAATGACATTGGGTTATTGGGCATAGAAATAAGCAGAGGATAAGCATAGAAGTAAGGAGAATATGAATAGTTACATAAACCATAGGACACACATCTCATCCCAGCAGTCTCTTGAGGCCAGTGGCCAGTGTTAATAGGACTCCGATGGACTTCCCTATGCTTAACCCATCAGAATATTGATTCAGTTTGTTGATGAAAATAGATACATATGATAGCCACATAGAGTGAAATCTCCCTATCTTTTAGCCCAAGACACCTTTCTCACGAGGATACACAAAGGAATGGACGTGGCTTCCCTAGAAATGCCACTGGATAGACACAAACCATTTGTGAGTGTCATACAGTTCAGTGAGGTGGCTATGAAGAAATCATTGAAATACTTGAAACTAGTATCTGTATGTATTGTGCCAGGTGGTTGAAAACTAAGTCGTGGAAAAGTTATCTGTGTCCCCAGTTTTACTACAAATTGCAATCATTGCTGTAATTAGATCTCTTAATTTGAAACTTAAGTGCCAAGAACTGTGTCTTATCCCAAATCCTTATCAATTCTGGGCAGCTATAATGTCTTATCCTAGACTCATGTTTATTGAGTCTCGGGCTAGGGGGGTTGACTTAGCAGTTCAAGTCCCCAGTCCCACATAAGACGCCAGCTGTGGACACATGTGCCTGTAATCCCAGTGCCAGGCAGAGACAGGAGATCCACTGGGGCTTGTTGGCCACCAACCTAGCTCCAGATTCAGTGAGCGACCCTGCACCAAGGGACTAGAGTGGAGAGCGACAGAGAAGGCCACCTACTATTCTTGTCTGGCCTCTGCATGCACACGTGCACGCACACGTGCATACATCACCCATTCACCACATAATTGCAGAAAAGAAAAATAACTCAATTTCCCAGCATTGTATATTAACCTTCTATGTCTTATAACAATGTGGAAGAATTAAAGTCAATACTTTGCCCTGCTATAGATTCTCATAGCATGCACACCTTTCTGGTGAGGGACCTTCAGGTGAGAGTATCTAAGAAGGTCAGAGTTCACATTGAAGACTACCTAGTATTTACTTACCACTTAATTTAATGTCAGATGTTAATGCATAGGCCCCCAAGGACCATAGCCCAACTTATGGCTAGAGAAATTAGGTCTCAGAGAGGTTGAAATAGCTTACCCAAAGAGTGCACAGACCCTGAAGTGTTCATTTTAGAACTCACCCTCCTGTCTATGTCGTCCAAAGCCTACAAACCTTCACTGTTATGCTCTAATTTAGTCATCTCTGGGACATCCTGTTCCTTGCTACCCAGACAGGGTGTGTCTTCTTGTCCTTAGATTCTGCTGTTTTTGCAATATTTGATTATTATTGCTCATACGACTACTGTTGTGATAAACAGCAAGGGATTGCATGTGTATGGAGCTCTCCAGCAGCTTAGAGATGAGGACCATTGCAGATCAAGCTTGCTTCAAACCCTTCCCCTAACCCATCTAGTTGAAGAGGAAGTCAATGTACCCAGAGTTAGCTCAAAATTGATGACAGCAGTAATTTCAATTGTACAAGGTTTAAAATGGAGGGACCAATGCCCATACTTTATATGGGTATAGATATTCCTAATCTAACTAAACTCCAAGTACTTCAGATGGCTTATAGCATGCCCAATCAATCTGCTTTTGACTGGGAAGTTGCTAGCACGGGGTAGACAGAATTTGAATCCAGACCTTACATGTCTCATGTACATATGGGAAGAAAGTAACAGAATTGGAACAGATTCCTGTAGCCTGGCCTTCCCAGGCTTATTATCCCTCTCAGAACTTTATGTGTGTCCTACTGCCTACTCATTCAGAGGGTCCATGTTGTAGAAGAAAAGAAGGCTCAAGAAATAAGCCCCAAGCCTTCCATTCTTCAAAGAATTACATAGCTCATACAAATATAGTGCGAACTCACACATAAGAAAGGCAAGCCTTACTACTCTTTGGCGAGGGGCTTGTTTTCTTGGGTTCTGTGAGCTCTCAGGCATCATGAACATCCACTCCTCCTCTGCAACATGGCCTACAGAGCCCAGCCATGATGGTCTCTGTTCTCTCCCACTGCAGGCGATGTTGGGGCGAAACAATGGGGAATCATCCAGAAAGAAGGATGAAGAAGAAGTCCAAAGCAGGCACCGGCTAATCCCCGTGGGCCGAAAAATCTATGAGTTCTACAATGCACCCATTGTGAAGTTCTGGTTCTATACTGTAAGCATTTTCCTTCTCCCTTTCTAAAAGCCTCTGGGGTGGGCAGTCCTGTCTCAGGTACCTGTGTGGCTTTCTCTGAGAAGCATTGTAAATACCGTGTGTGCAGGAATGGAAGCTCTGTGACCTTGTTTTTCCTGTAGTGTCACAAGATCTTCGAGCTTCTATAGACTGCCTTTCTGCTTGCCACAGAAGATAAAGGAACTAGCAGGGGTGAGAATAGAAACAGATGTGTGATGTGTATGAGTTAGACATGCAAACAAATGTCCATCATCCGGAACATTCCTGTGTTGCCGCACGGACAAGAACTAGGACAGAGTAACCAATTGCAGATGCTCATCCTGGGCTTCAGGGGAACGTGTGGGGGGTGCAGAAGTGTAGCAGAGATGTGACACCTCCAGAGACTGACAGCATCTCTAAGTAACAACTGCCAACTTGGTAATGACATCAGTCACACTTTCTTACTCAGGCACAATTAAACAGCATGCAGCTCAAAGCAGGCAAACCTCCAGCCCTGGTAAATATTCTCCAGGATCACACCCTACATGCACTTCCTGCCTCCAAAGTCATGGGCTGGTCCCGAAATGGCATCTAATATCATAGACAGGGACACGGCTGCAGTTCCCTTTTCCTTCCCGGTGACACTGTCCAGTGGTTCTTAACCTTCATAATGCTGTGATTCTTTGATACATTTCTTCGTGTTGTGGTGAACCATAAAATTACTGTCATGGTTACTTCATAACTGTACTTTTGCTACTGCTACGAATCTGTGTTTTCTGGTGAAAGGGTCTTTCGACCCCCAAAACAGGTCATTTGACCCCCAAAGGGTCATGACCAACAGGTTGAGAGCCCCTGGAGTTTAAAGTGATTCTGTCCAGCCTGCTGGAGCTACGCCAGCTAAGGGGCAAAGCTTCTGTGTTTCTAGACTTTCTCACGCCAGCTGCAGGGCAGTCATTTGAGTCAACAACAGGGCAGTCTAGGTCTGAGGACAAGAGGGGCTCAAATGACCATGGAGGTGACTTCCTGTGTAGTCCAGGATGTTAGTCTTCAGCACTGGCTTTAAAGCAAGACTTCACAGCCTCGGCACTGGTGATATTTCAGCTAGGAGCCTTCTTTGCCATGCAGCAGCATCCCTGGTCTGTGCCTACCAGATGCCAAAACCACACTCTGTCCTTTAAGGATGACAGCTAAAATGTTTCCAGGCATTTGTGGGATGAAAACTACCACCAGTTAAAAGCCGCTACTTTTAAGAATGATTTTTAATAGAATATGAGAGGATATGAAAACACACATGCCTCATTTATAGTCATTTTAGTAAAATAAAATTCCAAATGTATTGACATCCCCAAATCGTACCCACCTCAAAATAATATACATCCAAAAATTCAGTTTGCCTCTTTTATAGTGTCCTTTCAAGCTTGCCCTGTAGCAAGCTGTGACTGCATGCGATCTGAAAAGAGACAGCTACATATAGGTCTAGCTGTGTCTCTCTGTGCTGTGTGACCCCAGAAAAGTTACTTTCCCATTCTGTCCATCTATAAGATAGAGAGAGAAAAACTACATAATATGTGAAGATTAGTGTGCTGATGAGTATAAGACACAATAATATCTGGATCCGTAAGTACAACGTGGAGGAACTAGTGTTGCTCCTAAACTCGTCACATTTCTGAGAGGGAATCAATGCCAGATTCGTTTGTCCACGTCACAAGAGAAGTATCACTTATTGAACAGCTACTGTGTTTAAGCAAGGATCCAGATGCTTTCTAACCTCCCTGAGACTGACAATGATTTCACCAATATAACATCTGTTCCTTCTTTTTATGCCCACATCTGCCCTTCTCCTTCTATTCTCCTGCCTCAGTTGTCACAACCAAAAAAGGGGTGGGGTGGGGGGTTGAAAGCTATAGCTACAGAGGAAACTCCACTCTTACAGTCTACACGAAGGAACTCATTTTTGCATTTTGATTTCATTTATTCTGTGACACTGTGCATCACACCCAGGGATGCTAGGCGAGTGTTCTACCATTAAGCTACAACCCCAGTCTGTTTTTGTTTGTTTTGTTTTTAACCTTTCTTTAAAAGGTTGAAATAAGTTTTTTTTTTAAAAAAAAAAAAGATTAGTCTGTGAAAGATGAACTTCAAATTTCAGTGTTTACTACACCTGGCCACACATGTGCTCTAACAAAAAAAATTAATCATGACCATTAAAAACAAAATCTTCTTGGCCTACAGAACCCTGAAGATTTGCCATGTGGCCTTTTGTGAATGTTAGCAGATTCCTGGTCTAAAGCATAAGAGAAACTGGTGTAAGGAATCACATAAAGAATTAACCAGCACTTGGATGAACACTGACCTCAATTAGCCTTCCAAGTCTCTGCTCTTTCTTCTTCAGTGGGGCTCAGCATGCCCATCATCTGAGTTCCTTGATTCTCTTGCTCCTTGTTGATTCAACTAAGGCAATTTTCAGCCTCAAATGCTTCTTCATCACCAGTACCCTGGCCAGTGGCTGTCACCGTTGGCACCTCTGTATCAAGGTCATTGGAATCACCCACTGCACTTTTGGTTTTGATATTTTTTTAAGCCAGGGTCTCACCCAGGTTTTCTTTAAACTTCTGATCACCTTGCTTCTACCTCTCAAGGACTGGGATTATATGCATGTGTCAAGTCCATATGTTGGAACCCTTTCAAAACATGCTCACCCCTGGTCTCCACTCTCAGGGCTCTGATGCCATCCCTCTGGGAACTGCATTAGAGCTCCCCAGGTCATTGTCGTGAGCTGCTAGGGTTAAAAAACCCTGACTCAAAACAGAGAGTAGTAAGCTTTAGCCCATTGTTTTTTAAAATTCTCATGATAGGAAAGAATTCATTAGAAATCCCAATTCAAAGATCCATCATGGACCCAACTAAAGCAACTCTGTGGAAGTAGCGGGGAGGCGTTTAAGGCCCCAGGAGTCTCTAAGGATTACAGAAACCTGGGGCACACTGCTCTGAACACCATTTGCAGCAATCTTTGAAAAGCTATTGTAGTTCCCTTTCCATTACTGTGACAAAACACCACGGCCAAGGCAACTTAGAGAAGCAACCATGGAAGTCGGCTTATGGCTTCAACAGGTTAGAGTCCATGATGAGAGAGTGAAGGCACAGTGGCAGGAACAGCGGAGAGAGCTCCCACCTTGATCTGTAAGCAGGAGGAGAAAGAGCCATCTCAAAATACTGTGAGTCTCTTGAACCTCAAAGAGCCACTCCCTGGAGACAAAACATTCAGACATATGAACTTATGGGGGCCCTTGACATTCAGACCACCACGGGAGCTGTATCTTGGTCATTTGGGGTTAGGTCTTCTACGACAGTCCTGGTTAACCTCAGTAAATCCGTCCCACTAAATCCCCCGGTTAGATTTAAACAATTCCAGCAATTTGTGTTCAAATGTTGACAAAACCCAGGCCTCAAGGTAAACAGATTTCTGGAAATGAGTGCCAAGTTTTGAGACCTCAACAATGCTTAACAATAAACTTTGTCATCAGATTGATGGTCACATCTGCTGTGACCTGTGTTCTGTTAGAATACTTTGCTCTGATTTCCAGAAGTGTCCCTTCCTCCTCTCTGACACTCTGCCCAAAGGGAGCACCCACCTCACTTCCCTATGACCTTTTGACCTCATCTCAGCTTTCCAGAGGAACAGGCGAGCAGGTGGGTCCTCTTCAGTTCCAAAATAGAAGGAAGCAGAGATCCAATTGGCTCACAGGCCCTGTCTGTGCAGAGAACCTTTCTCAGTTATGAGCTGTAGAAGATTCAGGTTCAAGGTACAAAGCGACCACAGGTCAGAGGACATAATGTGCGCTGTGGGTCTCCCCAGCAGTGACAAGCTCTTCCCCAGAGGCCCTAGGTTAAGTGACTTACACAGATGACACGCATGGGCTGAAACTTAAACCCAAGTGCCACTCCAAGTTTCTCTGCCTCCCTTCCTTCCTCCAGATACACCAGACCTGAGTTCCGAGGGTGGGACCTTGTTAGTAAACTTAATTAAGTTCCAAGACACGGAATTTCTGAAGAAATGAGTTTATGTGTCACTGGGCCAGCATGCGACAAGAGGAGACAATGCCTTGGAACGTGTTGCGTTGAACTTCGTAAAACGCTAAAAGCAGGGCACTTAAGAGTCACTCCACCTTGAAGCAACAGAATTTTATTCAATAAAAGGAAGGAAGTGACCAGGAAGATGGAAGCGATGCCAGACAGAAGGAAACAGAGTGTGTTAGTCTCAGCAGCTGACTCCCTTCCTTTGTGTTTTATAGCTATGCATACAAGGACCGCAGAGCAAGTCAGTGTTTGCTTGATCATAACCTGAAACCCTGTGAGCCAAGTCACACTCAAAACCAATTTTTAAAGGATGCCTCTCCCGTGAGAAAGCTCCCTGATTCACTAGTGCTTCTGAAGTGGGGAGCTGTGGGAACCTGGGCCTGGGTCGATGTGAGAGTTGTCATGGGGATATAGAAGATCAAATCGCCCTGGTGGAGGAGTTCAGCTAACCCTCAGCAACTGCGGCGCCAGCTCACTATCACAATCTGATTGTTCCGGATGTGATGCGCCTTACCTCTGTCATAGGAAAGGCTGCCTGGGAAGGAGCTGGCCGTGGTAGAGTGTTTGCCTACCATGCCCAGGTCTTGACTTATCAGAAAGGGAATTGTGTGTCACAGTTGTGCCTAGCCATGTACATTACTGTAATGGGAATGTCAGAGGTACCTTTGATTCCCATTAAAAAGTCTATTTAGTTTGTAAAAACGAAGGGAGAAGCCCATTGGTACACAAGACATCTCTCTGGGCCCATATCACTGATCTCCTCACCAGGTTGCAGTTTCTACCCCCTAACTTGCCTTTACAGCCCCCAAAGTCACCCAATGACTTCAGCATCTTAAATCCTCAATCCTCCTGCCCACATACTGCCCTATTCATGACCACATCACCCCCAAAAAATATAGATTTGAGTCAGCTCACTCTGAGTCCTTGCTCACAGACCCTGAGGCTAGTCAGTACCTTGCTCAACTTGAAGCATTGCCAGCAGGCTGTTTCACCCATCTGCCATCCCCCTCGGGGCAGATTTTCTTAGGCAAGAGCACCACTAATTCTTTTCTTTCCACATCGACATCACTGCATCTTTCAGTAACAGATTCCAAGCCTGGGCCCCGAGGAGTGTTTACCCCCACATCTAGCATTCCAGCCAGTCACATGAGGACTCAAACTCCAGATGCTGGTGTCTCCAGAGAATGAAATCCACAACAGGCCACACACCCCACGCCTTCCTGTAAACCGATTTATTTTCTCCTGTTTTGTTTCAAAGAAACAGAAAACAAACTCCAATGTTCCAAGCAGGGTAGGGAAGGATGACAGTACACAGCGGGAAAGAAGTCAAACCCCTCCCGAAGAACCCAACCACTGTAGGTCAAAAACATCCACTCAGGAGAGCAGGGGTGTGGGTTCTTAAGACTAAATCTAGGCTACTTACACTGTGGTTTTACCAACTTCTAAGTAGTCTATGTGTCTTTCTTTCCTTCTGGTGGGCATTATTCTCCCTGGCATCGTTCGGGGGGGCCCCCCCCTTAAAGTATACCGTATCACCTTAGTATGGAAAACCATGTCTACTCCTAAGCAAGAAGAGCCCTGATAGGCCAGGTTCTTTTCTAAGCCATAACACTGGAACACTGGAACATGAGCACACACACACGAACACACACACGCACACACACACACACACACACACACATTGGTGATTGCCACACAAATTCTTACACTGTGACACAAAGGTATAAGCAAGGTTTTAGGGTCCCAGAGATACTATAAAGGTTAAAAAAAATGTATATTCAATTATTTTAACTATTACAGCCTTTAAAAAAAACGTTTGAGGTAGAGATGGCTCAGCAGGTAAAGGTACTTGCCATCAAGTCCAGAGACCTGAGTTCCATCCCCAGAACTTGGTAGGTGGCAAGAAACAACTTCTGAAAATTGTCCTCAGTCCTCCACAGGAATGCGCATAGGAAATAAATAAATATTCTTTGTTATTTAGAATCTGTGTTTGGGTTCCGCATGGACTCCCTACCCTGCTTACTGACCTTGTTCGGTGCTGCCACGCAGTGGTCTTGCCCAGGGCGCAGCCCCCAGGCCTCTGCAGTTAGACTCCTGTACTGTATTCCCTTGCAGCTGGCATACATCGGCTACCTGATGCTCTTCAATTACATCGTGTTAGTGAAGATGGAGCGCTGGCCTTCCACTCAGGAATGGATCGTCATCTCCTACATCTTCACTCTGGGAATTGAGAAGATGAGAGAGGTAAACTGCTTCCTAACAGAAAACGGGAGGGAAATGGTGGCTCATCATATCCGAGGACGGAGACTCGAGATGGATGCTTGGGATCCAAATTCAGCCCCAAACAGGGTTCTGTAATGCTGCTGGAGGCTGCTGCTTTCCCTCTTTGTCAAACCTAGAGAGGTTTCCTAGGGCAATTCGGTCTATTTTCTGCTCACATGCCTCTTGCCCCCAGACATCCTCCAGAGGACTTCAATATCCTTTACACCTCCCTCTTCTCATCTCTATGAAAATGACTTTTTAAATTTTGCTATTTTTAACTCCCATTTCAACTCCTGACTTGGGGTCTCCTTGGACACTATCCACCGATCCAATATCAAGCTCTCCAAATGTGTTCCAGCAGCTCACCGTCAAGCTCAATGACCTGCGTTGAGTACCCAGAACCCACATGGTGGTCAGAGAGAAACAACTTCAGCAGCACGGGGGCAGGGGGACGACACTCTGCATGTATTCCTTTACTCAGTTTACCCTGGAGTTGATGCCTTCTCCGTGTCTATCACCCCTGCTCTGGGCATCTGCCAGCCCTTCCACCCCTAGAGAGCACCATGGAGGATGGAACTCAGTTCTGGTCTCTCCTCACCTCCCTCCATTTAACCTAAGAGGAGTCACTGAAATGCCACCTCCTTTATGATTTGTTTGAAGTCAAAGCTAACCTTGGGGACAGGAAATCTTATTCAGTGCTAAAAGGAAATGAGCTACGAGGCAATGGGAAAGCTTAGCTGTGTGTTACAAAGAGAAAAATGTCTGAACAGGATACGTTCTATATGATTCCAGCTATATGAAATACTGGGGAAACCTAAGGAGATGGGGTTGCTATGGAGATGGGGGGAGCTGTGAGGATGGGGGAGCTATGGGGATGGGGGAGCTATGGGGATAAAGGGAAGTTATAGGGATAAGGGGGATCTATAGGGATAAGGGGGAGCTATGGGGATGGGGGAGCTATGGGAGTGGGGAAGTATGGGGATGGGGGAGCTATAGGGATGGGGGAACTGTGGGGATAGGGGAGCTATGGGGATGGGGAAGCCATGAAATGGTAAGATTGATGGTTGCCCAGGGTTGGACATTGGAAGGATGGTAAGTGAAGCCCAGAGCTTATAAGAGTACAAAAGTATTTTGTATGCTACTCTAGTGATGGATTCATACCATTCTACACATGTTCAAACCTATAGAATGTTACAGAACGTACCCACCAACAGTGAACCCTGATAGGACCTGTAGTCTTTGGGTGATGGAGGCTGTTGATAATGGAAGAGGCTGTGCCTTTGCAGGGACCAGCAGACACCAAGGAAAGTGCTTTCTGTGGACTTAAAACTGTTGTTTAAGCTTAAATAGCTTAAAAGGGGGGGGGGGAGAAAAGCCAACCCCAGTGGTCCCTGAGATTCCAAGAGCTTCTAAAATCTATGTGATCAAGAAACAGTCCACAAGAGGGCGCTGCAATCCTGCTCGGTGTTCCCCACAAACTCCTACCTCACCAGAGGAGACCTGCAGGGAAGACAGGCTTGCAAGGTGAGGGGACTCCTCTGCGTGTTCCCAGAAACTGCAGTGAGTGGGAGGGGCCTTTTCAGTAGGGAAGGATCGTGTCAAGCCTGTGCAGCCCTGGGCGCCCCAGCCCAATCCTGGTTTCTGTATTTCAGTGGGTGGGCACAGGAGGCAATGGGGCCACAAACCCACCTTCATCACCCAGATACATTCAAAGAAGAAAGATGCCTTATCCATCAAATGTGATTGCGTTGAGATTTAAACACACACACACACATACAAAAATAAAGAAAGAAACAAACAAAGAAACAAAGAAAGAAACAAAGAAAGAACTCGCCAGCACCTTTCTCTGGGGCTCTGTGGGTGTTATTTTGATTCTAATTAGTATTTCCCCCTCCTGAGAGCTTGGGAATGGCGCACAAGTCCCAACCGATCAGAGACTAAGGACTAAGAACTAAGGCAGAGACGCCTGGTGCTGTTCTCTGTGCTGTGTTCCACCATTCCCGGTGCCTCCCATTGCTGGAGCAGTGTAACGGACTTGGAAACTGAAAAACGGTAATAAATTTGCCTGGGACTTTGTGTAGCTCTGAGAACCGAGCCTGCTCCCGCCAGGGGCCCTGCCTCTGTGTGGTGCCAGCTGGCACTCCGGAGACTTAACACCCAGCCACATATCCCTTCCCCATCACAAGCAGAGGAGGCAAAGACTAGAGTGTGGAGACTGGAGGCTGTCCAGGGACTAGGCTGGAAGAAGATGGGGAGCAGCCTGTACTCCTCGGACTGTTCTAGAAAGGCTGCCAAACGGGCAGGCTGCCAGCAACCTCCAGGCCCGGCCATCCATTTCTTGTGAAGCTGCATGTCACGGCAGGCAGGGTGGGGCTTCCGATACTGGGTCAGGGCTGGGTCAGCTGAGAAGTGCTTGCCGCTGGGGGAAGATGTGGGAAGTGGGGTTGTGGCCATTTTTGTGCGTGATCTTTTTCTCGGCAATTGGTGAGGTCGCCTCTCACCCCATGTCCCTGCCTTGAACTCTGGAAAGAGTGGCTCAGCTATTGAGTGGGTGACAATTCCCACAAGCACCGGCCTTCCTGCCTCCTTGTGGTTGGCACACAGGCCCTCGGGAACCCAGACGCAAGATCCTGGAAGCATGGAAAAGTTCGCATGCTTCCGTGCCTCCCAGGCAAACACCAGGAAGGCTGTGGTTTCATGCGCTGCCGGTCCCGTTCTCTTCTCCACATACTTCTGCACGTAGTCACCCGAGCCAGCCGCAGCAAACCCTTAATCGTATGGAGCTGTTTACAGCAGGCCTTGGTAGACATTATCTCACCCAGTTCTCCCCCAAGTCTGTGAGGTCAGTGACAGCCTTAATCGCATCCATCCCTGCTTTACGGGTCTGGGAAACAAGATGGAGCAATTGTTTGGTATGCTACGGCTAGCGTGATGCTCTACTGTGTCCCAGGATACCAAGGCCTGTGCTACGGGCTCGCTTAGCAGTGATGGGTCAGAGGAGGGGCTTTCCCTCCTTCCCCCTTTTTTCCCTTCTCTCTTTCCTCACCGTCTCGTCTCTCTCATCTATCCTCTCTCTCCCCTCTCTCCACGTGAACAAGTGGGTGGGCTTCGCAAAGGCCTGGCCCATCCTCCCTTCCCCTACTTCCCCGTGCACATGCGCAGTTTGTGTCTAGTTAAGCTGAAACTAGAGGCTGAGGAGCCGACAGGACAGCAACAGCTGCAGAGGATACCGGTGGGTAGGTAGGACAGTAGGTCTCCCACCAAAGTCGCTGGGAGCCAGCAAGGACAGCGAATTCCCTGGCCCAACCCCCACACCCGCTGAGGTAGGAAGTCAGTGGCGGGAATCAGATATCTGTGTTTTGGAGCTATGGAGGCTACCGCAGCTGGAACGGTCAACAGAAGCCTTGCTAGGAAGGGGGCAGCTGAATAAAGAGCTTAATAGTAAGAAGGAGTCAAACACGCAGAATCTTGGAGAAGAAAGTCCCCAGTGGAAAGAATTATGCGCGAGAGTCCTGAGCGTAGGCTGAACTTGCTATGCCTCCAAGCCAGTCAGTGTGGCTATGGGGGCAGAATGACTGAGAATGTGGTGGGATGCGAAGTGGGCCACGGGAAGGAGTCTGGCTTCTGGTCTGTTTATAATGAAAGTCATCAGAAAGTCTGAGTATATACTTACCGTGGTTTGCTTGTCCCTCATCTCTCTTTTTTTAAGAAATGAGGTATAATTTACTGGTAATGAAAGGAACCCCCACTTGGGGTCCAGCTTGATGCGTCTTTGCTTACGCTATCAACTGTGTATTCACCAACCACATGAAGGGCTAGATCTTTCAAGAGCTCGCTGTGTGTTGCTCAGAAAATGGGTGGTAGGCTGGTGGCCATAATGACAACAGATGTGCCCTGAGAAGACTGTTGCAGCCATGTGCCTGTAATGGGACTTAGGATTCAGTGGCAATCACGGAGATGATGATAAGCCATTAATGGGGTTGTGCTTCGGGCAACGATTTGGGGATACGAGAGAGGAATGGAGGTGTCCTGGAGGAGCGGTCCACGTCACTCAGTACTGAAGGCTGTTTACTGAGGTGAGAGTGGGTATCTATGTAATGTTACAGCAAAAGCCTGCAGTGGCTCAGCGCTGCCAGACCATCCCAAGAATCAGACCTGTTGTTTACATCTGTGCACATCTGGATTGCCTAAGTTTAGTTCAGTTATGCATCCCAAGAATGTAGGTATTCAACGAGACACAGGTCTCCATAGCACCTTCCGTCAGCTGACAGACCGAGCGCTTCCCCGCGGAGCTAAAAGGATAAAAGAAAGCAGGCCTAACCCTCTCTGCTGCCTTCTAGATCCTGATGTCAGAGCCTGGCAAGCTGCTGCAGAAGGTGAGGGTGTGGCTGCAGGAATACTGGAACGTTACCGACCTCATCGCCATCCTTCTCTTCTCGGTGGGCATGATCCTCCGACTTCAAGACCAGCCCTTCAGGAGCGACGGGAGGGTCATCTACTGTGTGAACATCATTTATTGGTACATCCGCTTGCTAGACATCTTCGGCGTGAACAAGTATCTGGGCCCATATGTAATGATGATTGGGAAAATGGTAAGCAAGGGCATTTGGGGCCGTGTCACCCTTTCCCCGGAGGAGGATCCCTGATAATAGAAAGAGAGATTGATTCATTTGGATTTGCCACAGAGGTCTGCATGAGATGGCCCCAGGGGTGCTTCAGGTTTTTAATCTCCTTTAAGTGTTTGCAAAGTTGACTCTATTGCTATATAAAAACTAAAGAAAGCAATCATCAGCCGCCTTTTTTTTTCTAACTGAAGCATACGGGAAGATCACTTGCTTTATGGCAGGCACTGGCTTAAGAGCCCAGCAAAGCCAAGCATGCTGGCGCACACCTTTGATGCCCACTCAGGAGGCAGAGGCAGACGGATCTCTGAGTTTGAGGCCAGCCTGGTCTACAGAGCAAGTTACAGGATTACCAGGGCTACACAGATAGATCCTGCCTAGGCAAAGAAAAGGAAGAATAGTTGAGCAAAGATGCCATTTTATGAGGTTGGGACAAAGGGAAAGAAAGGGAAGTACTTGGCATGCAGAGTGAAAAGGTCTTCATGGTGACATCTATGAAGTCCAGAAGGGTCGCTCACAGGTCAAGACAGATTGACACAAAGTGTTCACGGTGGGCGGGCATGGAGGACGACTTGGTCTTCACTGAAAAATGTTAGCAGATTTTGAAGACTCATAGAAGATGAGTTTTTGAGGTGACATTTGGAGCTGGCTGTAGTTGTACTCACTCAGAATACCCAACACTTGGGAAGCTAAGGACGTCAGATCCCAGGCCATCCAGGGTGAGTTACATAGCAAAAGCTTATCTCAAAAAACCTGGTGTAAAATAAGATCAAATAAAACTCTTAAAAAGTGGAGTCTAGTCCACAAAGGGGGGTGGGGACTAAGTTGATCTGAGTTAGGTAGGTGGAGTCTGAGTACTGAGGAAAACTATGAAAGAACCTGGCTCCTGAGACTCTCAAGTGGTGAGTTAATGTGCCTCTATACAAATGTCTGAGAACTTCAACTTCCTGACTATATTCCAGTTTCCAGAATTTTCCCATAAAGACTGAGCCTGGGGGTAGCCAGCATCAGTGTGACCCTGGTGACAGGCGTGGAGTGGAGGTAGAATGCTGGGTTCGTGAGCTGCTTCCTCGGACAGCCTAGGGGCCTGATGCCTGCATGTATATCTCCGACATGTGGAAAGCTAAGAATATCCACCCTACCTGGAACAATACCCCCTCATAAGAATCTCTTTGGGATCGTCTCTAGTTCCATCCTATGAGTTGCTGAAACCAGCAAGCGGCATTATAGACGCCCCCTTTTTACTGCCACTCAAGTTCACGACAAGCATCATTGCTAATTCAGTATTTATTAAACATCTGCGTATGAATTCTACTGAAATACATCTTAAATAACCAGAAATTTTCCTGTTAAAAAAAACACCAAAAAAAAAATCCATGCAAAGAAAGGAAAAATTTAAATTCAAAATGAATTTCCTTTACTCTTTGATATTCCACTCGCGGCCTTCTGGGACAACAAAGAGCAGCAAACATGTACTTTGCAGAGCTGCGACCCTTAGGACTGGCAGTGCCGAACAATAGCTGGCTCGTGGTCAGCTGGCTGGTAAATTACGTCTCCTATTGTTACGTTCAAATTGTCTTTGTAAAGGACAATGAAGGAAGGAAAGATTATAAACAACACAGTGTCTTCTGTGTAACCAACCCTTTCTTACACAAGCTTGGAATTATCACACAGGCGCTGTTTAGGGGAAATAGCACCAGACACATTCTAGAGAACAGAACCATGGGTTCTGGAGCTTCCGTCACACACACTGAACCCAGTTCAGCTTGATATAGTTTGGGGACGGGGGCAGTGTGTATATTATGTGTTTATTCTGCCCTTATGTCTTCATTTAACAATGGCTTTGAGACTCTGGTGAAAATTCTTATGCCTAAAGGTAGACCCTGGGGAATGGGTTTGAAGGAAGGAAGGGACCTGTGTGGATCCTGCTCCCAACGTACATAGGAAAATGTGCATATGGATTTTCCGGAGAAAACAGGCCTTTTTTGAGATTCTCAAATACATTTCCAAGCGAACTGAGAAAAAGATATCAAACTATAACAGCTTAGAAATCAGGCCAATTTTTCTCCACCTTGACACATTTTTTGATTTTTTTTTTTTTTTTAAAGAATGTCTCACTATGTAACTCAACCTGTCCTGGACTTTACCCTCCTCCTGCCTTCGCCTCCTCTGTGCTAGGGCTACGGGCATGCACACCACACCCAGTTGGGACTGCGTAATTCTTCGTTGAAAAGTCTCCATCCTGTATACTGCAGGATGTTTAGCACCAGAAAAAGAGAGGGAGAGAGGAAGAGAGAGAGAGAGAGAGAGAGAGAGAGAGAGAGAGAGAAGAGAAAAGGAGAAGAGTTAGGACAATAAAGATGTCTCCAAACATTACCAAATGTCCCCTGAAGCCCAGAACTGCCCTCTGTCATGAATCACTATATTAGTCTCCCATTTTAGCTTTATTTATTAAAATACAAATGAAACGCCACTACATTTCCCTTTTTTGTCTAAAATAAAAAGATTATTAATTAGGGGATTATTTAATCTGATGGTTTTTTATGATAACCTTATTTTAACAGAATATTCAAAGACCCAAACCAAGTCAATTATTTTTAAAAGTCTAGGTGGCATTTAAATATTTGAAATATCTAAAGTTACATTAATGCAGTGAGATTATCTTAATTTCTGTGCCTATCATTTTAATAATGGCATAATTACCCCAGTTTTGACTAAAATAAAACCTTACTAAGAAATGAGGAGGAGGGCTGTGATGTCTTTTCTCTGCTTTTTAACTTATGAATGACTTCATTTATCAGTCAGGAATAAGTAGGAAATTTGGGGACTTTGAGTTCTCACAGGATGCTTTTAAGATAATTAGTTCAATAATTGAGTCATCGATCCAGAAGGTAGATAAAATCCATCCTTGGAGTTTATCAGTGAGCCAGATGGACGGCAAGCTGGAAGCTGAGGAGTATTCCCAGATGTGTTACATACAAAGCCTCCGACTTTAGAGGCTCCCTCTTTAATACTCCACACCCAGGAAGCCTAGCGCCTCGATATCTGGAGACCAAGCACAGGATGGCCAGGTGCTCATTCTGAAATCGTTTTCTGTGTTGGCAGTGTCAAGGAAACCAACCCGTGCAGCAAATAAATACCCGACAGCACGGAACTCCTTCGCCCCTTCCCGCTGTGAATCCTGCTCATATTCAGGCCCAGGTTGACTTGAAATCCTAAGTCTGTCCTTCCATATTTCATTTCTCAAGGAAACTCTGTAACTGTGGACTAACTCACTTACGTAACGTGGAATAGAAATCATGATAGGAGCAGTGCAATACTGTGCCGGGCACCACGGGAGGTGCATCTCCGTCCTCAAAACTGTCAAACCCCATAGAATTGATCTTAGAACCTTCCTACATTAACTAAATAAACAGACTCTGAGAGAAACAGGGACAAGGTTCAAACTCCTGACTCCAGACCCTGACCTTCCAATAATAACACATTAGCATTTATGATAATTACCGCATAGCCGTTGAGTCAAAGGTAAGCGCGTGATTGTTATTATTAACCCACTTACAGCATTTAAAAACAAGACTAAGCACCTCATTCCAGGCCACCTAGCCAACTTTCTTTTTCTTTCTTAATGGTCAGGAAAAAGTTTTCTTTGGTGGATTTTTTTTTTTCTCACATAGCTATTTTTGCTAGCAGTCAGGATCAAAATCCAGGTTGTCTGGCACCTGAGAGCTTGTACTTCCTCCCCACCGTGGATATTCTCTGTTGAACACACTGAAAGACATTCGTAAGACTGAGCAGGGTCTTAGCATTGATCTCACTGGATAATTTCACTTTGAAAACAAAAGAAGTCTGCTCCTCTTCTTATTATTGGGGCTCAGATCCTGATTTTTTTATGACAGTAAAGACTTTGACGTAGAGAAAGCTCAGCGAATGGGAAGAATTTCTTCTTTTGCTGTTTTGACCCTGTGACTAGATATTAGAAATGATAATTTAAAAAAAAAAAGCTGAGACATTAAGTTGGTGCCGTTTCTGTATTTTCTTCCTGAGTTTTCTTCGGTCAGGCTAGCCCTGCACTCTCATGAGCCCACCTAATCCTCCCCACCCGTCTTTTAATAAGTGTAACCAAGTATAACATGAAGACCCATCTGTGCTCCTTCACTGATACAACTGTCTATGAATAAGTGATCAAAGAATTTTATAAAATAAAAAGAAGAAAGAAGATAAAGCACAGACTTAGGTTTCCTACAAACCTGTTTCACCCAGTCATCTCACCTACTTAGAGACCTGCGGCCACCAACTGGAAGAAGAAATAGCAACCAGCATAAACCTGCAGGGAGATGGAAAAGAAGAATCTTGAAGAAATTCCTGTCTCGCTTCAAGGTCTTAAAATTTGGGGCAGATGTATTCTGAAGTTGTCTTGAAAACCGATGAATTGATCTAAAATATATTGAGGCCCCTGTGTCCCAAGGTATCCAGAAAGAACGTAATGTTTAGGTACCATAAAATATTCTCTTTTAAGCTAAAGGTGGAAATAGGTCTATAGCAGAACGTGTGCTTAGTGTACAATAGGCCCTTGTCCAATCCTCAGCACAACAGTAACAATAATAAATAAGTAAAATTGTCTGAAACCTTCTTTATCACTGATAATTATCATTCATCATTCTCTGTGGGTGGGTACCCCTTACACTATAATACCCAAGAAGAGGAAGTCTTTGGTGTCAGACAGTTTCACAAAAGGAGTGAAAACCAACCTTTGTAACTTAAGAGTGTAAGGGACATATTGACTTATAAAACAGGATGGAACCGGCCATAAAGACTGCTGAAACAGGGGTTCAGTCACTGCTAGGACTAGCTCTCTCTATCTGCTCCTTCACTGGTGGGGAAACTCAGCCTCCCGCATGCTACATGATTACAAAGAATGAACATCATGAAGAATAAAAGGAAACTTCTCTCTCGACTTCTGTTTTAAAGAGATGGTAAAACAGGCTATGTAATCTCAGCACCCTGGAGGCAGAAGCAGGAAGAGCATGAAGTTGCAGGCCAACCTCATCTACGCAGTGAGTTCCAAGATTTTTTTGGGCTCATACAGAGACCTGTCTCCATACAAACAAACAAACAAAAAAGGTTCTGAAGATTCTGATAGTCCTGTCTTGTGTAACATGCCTGCCTCACCATGGCTTTCATGGAATGAGGGCCCACAGCTAGACCAGCTTGGACAGCACACCCATCTTTCAGACAGATGCATTGGAACTATCTCTTAAAGAAAGAAGTTGTGGGTTTGGAGCCACTCAGAATCACCACTCTGTTTAGTGTTGAAAAGAGAGCAATTGGGCAGGGGGAAAAGAGATGCCTAGTCACATAGCATAGAAGCAAGCGAGGGGATGGAGAAGGAAAAGTGGGGAAAGGGCAGGTGGTGGGCTTCAGTCAGGAGGAATTGGCTTCACACCGTATGTGTGAAGGAAAATGTGTGTGGGAGGAAATCCGTCATCTCAACAGGCACTGATCTCAGTCATGAAGCTACATAGCTTAAGGACCAGTGAAAAGACCCCCCATAATAAGATACCCTACAGGACAAATATAGAAACTGAATGATTTGGTGAGAGACTGATCCATGTCAGAGAATCCAGCAATGTGATGGGGCTCCCATGTGCCCTCCTGCCCTGGGTCTATTTCTAACCCTGCATTTTCTTGAGCTTCCCGAGTCATGCTAGCCTCTTCGAACTAAGAGCGGGAATATGCTGTTCTGCGCTTGTTCCTAAAATAGCCCAACTATCCCAATTCTAATTTTCCTAAGAAGAAAGAAACCAAAACAAATGACTTGCCTTCTCTAATAACAGTTAAAAAAAAAATGGTGCTGGAACCATGTGAAGAACCCAGATTCTGAGGATTAGCCCTTCTGTGCCTAAATGTGAATATATTTCATAGACGTCCATAAAAATGAAGGGGCTCAGTTATGTGTGCACTCGTAAAAAATAATCTTAGCAACTGACATCAGTATTCAGCATGTAGACATCAGCTTCAGTAGTCCAGTTGTCCTCTTAGCTGGGGATTCCTTCAATGTCAGCATTCACAGTCACCCTCAATCACATGGCTTTTCTCTTATTTCTCCTTCTCTGCCCTTCCAGATGATAGATATGATGTACTTTGTCATCATTATGCTGGTGGTACTGATGAGCTTTGGGGTCGCCAGACAAGCCATCCTCTTTCCCAATGAGGAGCCGTCTTGGAAACTGGCCAAGAATATCTTCTACATGCCATATTGGATGATTTATGGGGAAGTGTTTGCAGACCAGATAGACCGTAAGCAAGTTTATGATTCTCATACACCAAAGTCAGGTATTTAACTTTGATTGAGTCACGTCTTTTCCAAGTCCATTTGTTTGTCCTCAATAAATGGCTCAAGATAGAGGGCCGATTCCTAGTTTGCTATCTTGGTGGAAACAAACAATCACTGGAGGTGAATATAACACCTTAGCAAAGTATCCATCAACTGTTTCTTCAGGTATGTCCTTCCTGTATTACAAATGGACATCTAGTAGACAAAAGTTGACACAAAAAAATGAACTATTTTAAATGACATAAGTTTGTGTATAACTCAAACTCTTAAGACAAGGGTTTTTTTATATTTCATTATTGGAAATATATTATGTCAAAACTATCCACTCCTACCTTAACCCTCAGCTTGCTAGGCTTTTGAAAATAAATTCCTAGGGATTGACTTTAGAACAAATAAACAATTCTCAATTTCATCATTAGAATTCAAGATTAAGGGCAAACATCTGTATGGTATTTTCCTCATGCTAGGAGCTATTCCCCAACAGCCTTTCTCGTTGTTAAGAGCTATTGAGACACAGATGAAGCCAGAATTCGTTACCAAGAAGTATGGAAAATGCCCAGAGGTCATAGACCGATGTTGGCTGTAAATGCTGAGGTGGGGGGTATCTATACCCTAAAGTGATCGAACCAAGAGGCAGCAGCCCCCGTACTGTCAGTCTACTAGATACAGAGTCTCGGCAAAAATAAACTCCTTTTGTGTGGAGTTGGATGGCGGCTGTAGTCCTGAGTCTGTTCCAGGGTTTTATTTGGACCAAATGTCAGGGCACACCAGGCATCAGGAAATGGCTTGGGGAAGAAAGCATCAGGGAAGAAGCATGCTTCAGTGTGGAGCTGAATCCCAGGAGCAGCTCCTTCTCGTTTCCCCTGAGGAGTTTAACTCTGAAAATAACAACCCTCCAACACTGTTGAATTCACATTTTTTCAGACATTTATTTTTTGCTGACAGGTCAGCCATGTGAGCCCTGGACTGTGAACACGGATTAGGGTCAAGTAACCACATAGCTTAGTAAGAATGGGAGTAGAGTCTCGTCAGCACCCGCTCTCCCTCCTCATCCCAGGTAGGACGGGGCCTAGGCATACAAGGAAAAAAGACGTCTGAGCTTGGAAGTCCTCAGGCCTGTGAAGAGCATGGGTATCCTGGCAACAGAACACAGTTACACGTCATTTTTTCCCTCCACGATAGATTCTTGAACAAATATGTTTTCCTTCTCAAAACACGTTATCCGAGGCTCTGAGGCAAGTGCAACTTTTTGGAACACCTAATTGGAACAAATATCTGTTCCATAAGACTTAGCCAACTCACGGAGGAAGAATTTTAGCTCCATCCTCCAATTACGGTATCTTTGGCTGACAGAAGAAGGCAGTTTCCCAGGGACAGGAATTTCCTGTAGAGAGCATCCTTTCAAATGGTCCCTCTAGGCCAAACAACACTTTAAAAGCTTGCTATGCTGATTCTCCTCGGAGACAAGGCTATTACACACACACACACACACACACACACACACACACACACACACACAAGCATACACACGGAAATTGCTTTTCCACTTTGTTACATTATTTTGCCTTTTCAAATTGTCCCTTTTTCTCTAAGAACAAGAGGAAGTCCACATGGGCATTTGAACAATGTAGTGTGGGAGAAAGGGGGAGAGAATAAGGAAGGGGAGGTATGGATGGGTTTTACAAATGGGATTTTGTCTGTCCCTCTACAAGTGGCCATTTATTGATGTTGTACTATGAACACAGCCTAGTGCAACAAACACTACCATCTGCTGAATACAAGGATTTAGTATCGCTGTTCTAAAAGAAGGGCTGATTATAGTTTAGAACTTGAGATCTCCTCACCACCCCCAAAGACAGAATAGAGGTGTTTTGTGTGAAAATAGACAAATTCCTCTGCTCTGGGAATTAGATTTGTGGCGCTCTATGTGTGTGAGGATAAATCTTGACCCCAAATCCCAAAATAGAACTGACCCAGCCTTAGGTGGATACAACCTTCTTGAGACCCTGACCTCTTCTGTGATCTTCTGAAGTTGGCCGCAATGGCAGACTGTTCTAAGCTAAATCAGCCAGTTTTCTGTCTAGAGTGCTAAAGAGAATTTGTCCTTTCTCAAATGGAATTAGATAACTGTCCTCAAACCTCAAAAAACATTCGTCCAAGGTCACCAAATATCACTCTCCTATTAATGACTCAAATGCCCATACTATGGCACAAGGTGGGCCCGGTGGAGATTGGATGCCTGCCCCCACCCTTCAGAACTGCCCAGGGGAACCAGCACCAAACTGTTTGAGAAAGGTACAAATCATTCAAATCATCGCCGCTGCCCTCCAGTGTGTGGCCTCCCCTCTGTGCCGTGTGCAGGTTGGCGTGTGAAGCATGTATTCAGGCCGATAGGATCTCATATCCACCCGGACCCGCTGCCCTCCCATGGTCTATCAAGCCCATGCTGTGGATGTGCCTCGTGGTTGTGCCCCGTGGGTGTGCCCCGTGTGGCCCTTTCCCAGCGCTTCTCATTCCCACGCACCTCAGATAACTCATTCCTAACTTGATGCACGCGTTCCATATCTAGCTCTGGATGTTTTGACTTCTCCGTTGCTGGACCCATTTCATGTGGGGCGGGGGGATGATCTCTTTCTGAACTGGGACTCATCAGTGTGAATATGCAATGGGACCTTCAGAACAGGTTACTCGTACCAACGTCACACCTCAGAGTGGAGGACAGCTAGAATGCCCTCACTTCTGGGAGGCAGTGTTACCTAACTGTAGTATTTGGGGTATATATTTTATCGATTTTGCTGTTGTTCTAGACAGAAGTTAACCTAAAAATCCAAAGACCATGGGATGAAACCTATGAGGTTACTTTCCAAATGTGCTTAAAAACTTGAGAAACAAAAATGGAATCACGCTTTTAAATTCACAAAATAACAAGTTCATTAGCCTTCTAAGTCATAATGGGCTAGCACAAATGATAGACCAAGCTTAGTCTAAATTACCCAAGAGGATAGGGTTTGGCTTCTGGCTTGGGAGCAAGGGCATGCAAGGATGTGGTTAGAAGTAGAAGATGGTGAAAATGAAGAAGAGACAGCAGCTGTTTTCATCGTGGAAGTTGGGCCTCGTGCCGATCCGATTTATGTGACCTGAACTTGCTGCTGTTGGCTAGTTAGCTGGTCAGTTGGTATTTGGGCTTTACTTTACTTGGTTGTTACTGTTGCTGCTGCTATTGTTGTTGTTCAGATATCCTGTAGTTGACGTTAAGTTCTCATGCTATGCATATTACTTTGCTAAGCCCAGCTAAGGGCTACCAGAGTGACTTGGAGTCTGGGTTCTGAAATGTACCGACATTGCCCGGAGTCTATAACTCAATGGTAGAGCATTTGCCTTGCCCACAGGATGCTCTGGGTTCAATACCCAGTGCCACAAAATAATTCATTTCATTCCGTTAACTACACCAGTACCAACTACAACATTCTTCTTGGGAGGCCTCATTAGTGTGACCCATACTGCATGGCCTGTGAGGGATAGCCAGGCCCCCACAGGTGCTTGGGAGGAAAACCCATTTCAAAAGCAGAACGACAGAATACATAAATTCCCAGCAGTATCCACACCAAGGCTGCAGTAAAATTCAACTTGAATGGTTTCTCATGAGCTCAGAGCTCTGGCTTGGTGGCTGGAGACCTTGGAAGTACACCTGTGTTAGCAGAGGTGACAGGGTGTCTCCCCACACTCCAGCCTCTCGCTGGATGGGGGCTGCTTCTTCCTTACAGGGCGTCCTGCTGTATATTCAGATTCCCCAGGCTGTACCAAGACAGGAGAGAAATGAATCATGCTCTTGAATGCATTAAATACGGGTCTAAATTTAGGCCTCCTTTCTGCCTCTCTGGGTATTTTTACCAAGTTTAGATAGTACTGGGAAAGCAGAATGTCCAGGACTTGCTTTCTACCATGACAGCTTAATATTACCTACGCATTTTCCCCTCTGAATTAAATATCCAATCTTCTTAGTGTGGGGGTCATTTTTTTTCTTACTGCCTGGGGCTTTTTCATCTAAAATTAATAGGTAATCTGAAGGCGGAGGGGTTTCTTTGTTTCATTGTTTTAATTGATTGAATACATTTTGCTGTTAAAATAACCCTTGCTCTTTGGTATACAGGTTGTCATTGTGGCTTTGGCTCAAACTATGTGTATGGAAAGTACTGTCCTGAATTACTTTCCTGTCTCCAATTAATTGTTCCTGAATTTGGCTATGGAAGCAGGACAGCTCAAGTGTCTGAAATACACATTCGGTGGTGGCGCATACAACACCAGGAGCCAGGAGGATGCGAGCCGTGCGCATCTCAGCTGTGTTGCTCCAGGTCTCAGAACTCTGGTCTCAGCTACTGCTTAGTATTTCAGACCAACCTCTAATGGCTTCGGAGGACAGGGTGGCCTACCAGTTAGAGCATAGGGCGCATTACCCAACCAGGAAGCGCACTCTGGGAGGGAACGCTTGGGCCAGTGCCCACTTTGGAGGAAAGGGAAATTGATCCGTGAGGTTCCATTTCCACAAACTGCTAAGGAAGCTAGCCAATGCAGGGCTGTCTCTGAGAAAGTCGGGCCACACTATAACGGATACCCACATGACTTGTTTACTACTCCAAAGAACAGAGCTAGCTCTGCATCAGGCCCCCCGCTGTGACCTGTATGCATTCCGCCATCACGATATCCAGGTTGGCCTCTATTTAGAGTCCATTCTTCTTTCAAAGGGTATTTTCTTCTACCCATGAGCTGCAAAGCAAAGTCTGGGAAGAAGCGTGAAAGAGACATTGCCTTCGAGGAACTTACAGTTCAGGAGGGGCAACCTGCCGTTGCCAGCCTATGGATTGAGGAGACGCTCAGCGAGGAAGTCAGTCATTTCCACACGGAGTAGGAGCATGGGTGTGATAGATGAGGCCTTGCAGAGAAGAAGAAAGCTGAGCAGAGCCCT